CAAGTTTAATCTGACTCGATTTAATTCTACGATTTATTAATTATAATTATTATTATCCATATCATATCTGGAAACTCATAAAAACGCAACATAACGTAAAAAGAATGATCAAACTTATAACAGAAGAATTGAAAAAAAGTTATTGATCTATTTTAGGTCTAAAAATAAGTCGTTGATAAAATGATTGATGACAAAATTGAGATTTTCGATTTGTAATGTAAATTATAACAAAATTCAATTTAATATAAATTCAAGGAATGGAATTAGATTATTGATATTATCCCTACGGGTCTAATTTGTGTTTCAAATGTAAAAAAGTTCGGAAAACAAATATAAGTAATATATTTGTTTATATATTACTACTATATTACTCATATATGCAAACGGAAAGGACAAAAATTAAGCTTATTTTTTTGTAGCATATAAAATACTTTCTAATATATAGCTTTTCTTTCGAGTCACATCGGCCTATAACCTATAGGAATATTGTAATGCAACTTTTTTGTCGTTATTCTTGGCTAAATACAAATAGTAATTTACCTACTTTTTGATTTAAGCTTCTATTAATTCGGGATGTCGAAAATTTTTCAAAAAATTAATCTTTTCTTCGATGATTTTTGAATATTTTTGATTTCAGCGACATTTAAACGCTTGTAAATTTTTAGCACTTTGATAGTTTGAAGCTTGAATGAAATATAGGAAATGAAAAAATCTAGAAGACAAATCTATAAGAACATTAAACTATTGAAACTTTTGAATCTTTTGACATAGTGCTTTGCTATCCATGAATGAAATATTGATATTTCAAATATCTATCAGTCGTATTATTTTTTTATTAATATACATTGAATGGCAATCAGAACAGTTACATTTTCTAAGCCATTGGACTATAATTTTGATTCCCATTTAACAGGATCAAATATGGCGTGCTAGAAGATCTCCAGTGATATCTCGTATTTGAAAAGTATTTGAAATTGGATAAGTATTTAAATATATTCGTAATATTCTTACAGCAACTTTCTGTATTGATAAGGTATACAATACACTGTATAATTTTCAGCACTTAAAGAAAATGTGAGAAAAAATCTTAATGCAGAGTATCAGGTGATGTTTTTTTTTTTCAGCATTATTTAAGTGCATGTAACTTTTGAATGATTTGACATGATCTCCAGTGATATCTCGTATTTGAAATGTATCAAATATTAAAATACATTCGTAATCCCCACAGCAGCTTACTGTATTGATAAGGAATACACCGTATAATTTTCAGCACTTCTAACCTTTCAAAGAAAATGTGAGAAGAGACTTTAATGCAGGGCATCAGCAACATTTAAATGCATATAACTTTTGCTGTTTTTATATAAAATATAGTAAATTTCATATAAGACTGTATCAGACAAATTGATATTGAAATATTTTGACTCTGGAAAAAGGGGTGACTTTCGCATATTTTCAATGATATCTCGATCAAATGATGACCTAGGGAGTTGAAATTTGGTATATCGGATTTTTTCGAAAAAAGGCATCAAAATCATTTAAATACCAGGGTAGGGCCAAATCTGTATAGAAACACGATCTTTGACCCTTTCTATTCTTTTTTGGTATTGATGTATAAGTTAGTACAATCTCAATTTTTCCCTGCTCGACTACTTCTTTCATACATTCGAGTAACTACGTCATTGAGCATGATAAATACGTAAGGTTTGACAAGTTACACCAGCAACATACGTATTTGTCCGTCAAACAACAAGCAACTTTATATACGATGCACGACAAATTCAAAAAAGATAAATAAACAAGTATCATGGTTGATTACACTTGCTATATATGTGGTTACATGCACAACAAAAATAAGAATGTCTATTACTCTGTTTTTTCTTTTGTCACACCTTGCTGAATCCTCAATTGTGCAAAAGGTGAATGCTAGGTACGGTTGACTGATTTTGTTCAGAAAATTACTTCAAAAATGCGGTAGTAGCACGTTTTTATTTCGATTTTTTTTTTGTAGAATACATAGCTAAATACGATTTTAGTTTGGAATATAATATGTTCATTTGCAAACAAAATATGGTTCAGGCGATCTTTAAACAACATTAATTAGTGAGATTTTTAAATAACCTAGCAAAATCAATATAGTTAAATTGTTTAAAATTTGGAATCATTCTAAAGTATCTTGAGTAAATCTAAATAAAAAAGAGTGCGCGTAAGGTTCACACGCGATTGAAGTAAAACTTATTTGCTGCTGTACAGATGGCATTTAAAGTGAAAATAAATACATCATATAACAATTTTGGATAATGTTTATTAGTAATATGGTAACACTCGTGATGCACACATTTATTAGTGTCAACCATTATATATATTTAAATAATGATAAATTATAAATTATATACTTATAATAGCATTAAACATATATATAATATTTAAAAACAATAATGTAATTAAAGTCATACTTCAAATATGACATGAACGGTTAGTCATTGTAATTAGCATTCAGAAATGATCCTTCATTAAAGAAAGGAGGTATTTGCTGATTAATATATTCTATAATATTTGTTCAGACAATGGATTATGTTAAACAACGCTTAAACAAATATTGTTTTTGCAACTTCACTCAACATGTAATTGTGTTTGAAGAACTTCATGTAATTAAAATTAACATACATTCATTGACTGCTTGTAATTTTTTACTTTCTAGCTGGCGATATCTCATTCCTTGAATAACTGTAATATCTGTTATATGCCCAAAAAATATTTTGTACGGATTTACACCCTAGTCGCGCCTCAAGAAGTTTTACTTCAAAATAATTATTATATCATTAGGAAGAAAATGCTTGTTCAATAATTTCAAGACGTTTCTAGAATATTAACAATAATAAAAACTAAGCGAATTAATTTTGAAGTATTATTTTTCTTCTATATTTATTTTAACATATACGACTGTGGACACAATTTACAATTTATGGATTAATTAAAATAATATCAGTCTGCCCAGTATATTCCTGATGTTATTGTTGTTGAGCAAAAAGTTAAACTAAAAGGTGAATTCAAGCAACCTTCTAAATTAATCGAATTCAACCAACTCTAAAAACAAAATATACTTTTAACTTGACTAATTTTGTTAATTTAACTAATTCGAGGAATATATCATTATTACACATTACATTAACAAGTATGCTGTATCATATAATTTGGCTGCAAGTTTATTGATATGAATGCCAATATTTTCTTAGAGTTCTATTACATTAAACGCGCCTTATAATTTTAACATTTCAAATCAATTATTAAAATATTCCAATAAGCAGGTAATTAACACTTGTTGCTAATTTTTATTGGTAACTAATTATGATAAGATTTATTAGAAATCATCAAAATAAAAATGTTGCACTAGAAGTAATTAAAATGGCATGTTTTTCAGCTACTAATAATATAATTATTATACATGAGACTAGTTGTTGCCGAGTGAACCATAACACATCTTGAATTTTTTTTAGAAATTTTTATTTTGGATGCGGGTGGTCTTTGTAACAAAAAATGTCTCGAGTTATATTTGCCGAATCCCTTTTGCCCAAGAATAATGCCGTATTTTTTAGGTAGCATTTATCGATTTATAATCTACTAAAAAATCCTTATGGTCATTATGTATATATATTTCATGCTCACTTTGATACGAAATCTTTTTTTTAAAGTCTAATCAAATGTGGTTGTATAAAAGACCAAATAGTTAAAACTGCATAGATAAAAATTTAGTAAGAAAGTATTTATTGAAAACGAATTGAGAAACTTCTGCATTATCAAAAAATGCATATTTCCAAAGGAGTTTAATAGAGGAAGAATGGATTTTTTTTGGCCTATGTTTTAGATACAGATAGGATGTTTATACATTTTATATTGTCTTCAGAATATTTGCATGTCATTTAATTTGAAAAAAAAAATGTATGCAGAATGCTAATAGAATTGAACATTATATTCAAACGCATTATATTAATGCACTTTTTAAATATTTAATAACATATTATACGTAAATTAGACCATTTTTTTTTGTTTTGACCAGTCTTCTCTTAAAAAATAACATTCCTATTTAATAATTTATTTATTTATTAATTGTAATGATTCAAATTTGAATGTCTATTACCCAGATCTCAATCTAGGAATTGCTCATTTTTAAGTAAGACAAATCGCACGTTTTTTAATTATCTAAAATATTTTACACACATGTTTGATACAGTGATTTAAAATCATTAATTCAAAATTTAACACGGGGATTATATCCTGCCGAACAGATTGAAACGTTAAAGATTATAGCAATGATGATATGATTAATGATTGTGGATCGTATACCAAAAAAATTTAATCCTGTCAGGTATGAAATATTTTAATTCAACCAATATACAATTATTTAAGATTTTGCTGCAACTCAGTCAAAAATGTTTGTTTTTTATGTAATAGTTTTATTTAGCAATCATAAAATAATACTATTTTCATAAGCTGAAGTGATAACTAAATAAATGAACTAAGATCCTTTAATCTATTTTATATTATGTTACAAAAATGGTTGAGTGAAGCTATTTTATGTCCACGTTGAGGAACCAAATTCTTTGAATTAAGTATTTTCTATTGAATACACTGAAATATATTGTTATAAAATATGAATAGCTATTTAGTTGAAAAATGATTAATAAATTTGAATTTAAATTAATAAAAAAACACAAAACATGCAAAATTAATTAAACAGTTATTGATTTATGAATAAAAAAAAAACAGATTTAATGAAGTATTTTTAGTATTGCGATATATTTAATTTTGTTAAATTGTCTGTAAATATTTTCTTACAATTAGAATATTTAATTCTATAATAGCATTAAACTATTTTGTAAATTATTATGCTAGTTCAATCACAATTTACTTTCAATTTTGTAGAATAACCAAAAAACACAATTATTTTGATAGAAATCTTTTTTTAAAAAAATAGTTATCATTAAATTTTTTTTCTTTACGATTTAGTTTAAGTCAGCATCTCTGTGACTCAATTGTAAGAGATTTGGTCTTGCAACTTTCGTATCTACCAGAGCAGCCTGGTATCAAGCAATAATTTTTCATTTAAAAATATAGATATAAAAATGTTTCTAAGTAAAAATAGTTCTTTGCCAACTTCAAAATTATTAATAATGCATTAGTCTTACAATTAGAGAAATTATTGTAACAAAAATATATGAAATGTGTTGCTTTCTATAAAAGCGACGTTTTTACGAATTATATTATTTTTAACAGCGCATAGATCTGTTAAATTCCCATTGCTTTTAAAAATTAAAAAAATAGTTTTTTTATATAATGAAATTAATTAATTAGTTGTGAAGTTTGTAAGTTTATCAAATAACTATTTTAGTACTTGGAAAACCAATATTGCGCCTGCTATGCGACTGCTATGCACACAAAGGAAATTTTGCCTGCAGGATAATCAGGCTATCTCAACTATTTCTTTTTGAATTATATTTATTTCGCCTATAACTGCAATCATAATGTTTTAATAAATATTATGAATGAATAAGTATTTTTAATGTTGGGCATAAAATAAATAATTTCTTTTAAATATTTAATGAAGGAGACACAAACTTTTTCTTACACAAAATAATCAGTATACTTTTATCCTTAATTAACTTTCCGTAGGGCAAGTTATAGTAAAAAGTGAAAATTTTTATATATTTTTACGTTTCAAAACCTTTTGAACATTTTGGCATACCTTAGAAAAAATGGATGTATGTGTGTGTGTATGTGTGTCTGTGCGGATACAAATTTTTGTCGACGATTTCGGGAACACGGTTGTAGCGATTTGAATAATTCAAAAAAACATTCGATTCGTATTTATAAGGAGACGTGCTGATTAGTTTTTAGCGAAGGCAGGTCTAGCCGTTCCGAAGATTTGCGGCAAATAGTACCAAATACGTAAACTCAGTTTTTTAGAGGGCGGAGTGTTCGATTTGAATAATTCAAAAAACATTTTACTTGTATTAACAAGATGAAGAGCTGATCAAATTCATGAAGGCAGTTCTAGCGGTTTTGGAGATCTAGTAAAAAAGTAAACAAAATGCCATTTGGCGGTCAAAAATGATTATTAGACATAATACATCAAATTATCAGACATTTTATAGAGATTTTAACAATAATTTTAAATTTTGTTTGAATTCCTATGGGTTCCGTACCAATGTTTACCCGTTAGACGGCGACGCGACGCTTACGCGCTTCTACATTTCGTCTCTATGCAGTTAAAGCAGTACAATTGCTTTGAAAAAAAGTTTAGAATTTGCAAAATATTTCAAAATAAATTTTTCTTCAAAAAGTCTTTTTTTTTCAAAAAAAAGTAAACTTTTGTCAAAAATTTATAGTTTCTCAAAAATCTAATTTTTTCAGAGTAATTTTTTTTTATGTTAATATTTTTTAAAAAAAACTTTTTTTTGGTACGGGAAGTTTCAGCAATTTGCCTTAAGGCACGATGCCATGCGCCCCACTAGTTTTGCTTTTTTTTTAGCAATTCTATACCATCTATGTAAACACATTTTCATATTATTAGTGTATTCAAATTTTCGATAAATTTGTACTAATATTACATCTTCTATATATTTATATATGTTTGAAAACTAATTCGGTTTCATTTATTAATTTCTATGGATAGTGTGGGCATAAGGTATAATTTCGACATATTTACGATGGCGTCTTCGAGATCTACAAAAATCGACGTATTTTCCTTTATGCATATAGTTATCTTTCATTATACGTTTAATAGTATTCCAGTTGCAAGAATATTCACAATCATATTCAAATTTATTGCACTCACGATAAGTTAAGAGTTGGAAGTCTCCATAAGTGTGCTGATTATAAAGAACCTGAAAATAAAAATTCATATATATATATATATATATATATATATATATACAAGTATATATATTTATATACAGTTTTAACGTATAAATACCAATAATCTAGTTGGTATATTACCTTAACTCTCCAATTGTTTCTCCGCAACCTATGTAATTCAAACACAATTGTTGCACCTATATGGGGAAAGAAATTAGTAACATTAAATGTGGTTCCATCAATTAAAGTACCCTTGGGTTTCAAAACTGAAAGCAAGCCAATAAATACTTGTGTTGGTGCTACAAAGACTGACATTTTTAGATCGTTTTTCTTAGGATTTATACTGCCTCTGTGGCCCTTCTTAACGCGTTCTAACGTTTCCATTATGTACTTTAGAAGACGACCTAAAATATAAATTAATTTAATAGTGATTATTTTATTGCACTTTTATCGTAATATCTATTATAGTAAAATTTGGACAGTTTTTTAATTTTTATTCATTTCCTATTTAAATTACAAGCTGACTTATAATTAAAAACATATTTAATTTTAATAAGAATTTTATTCTAAGAATTTACAGAGCTATAGTATAAGAGAACCAGCGTGGGTGCTATTTAGTAAATTTGATGCAATTTATAGCTGATTGGTAAAATACTATTACGATAATACTTTGTTTATTACTATTTTGCAAAGGCGAGTTTAATTATTTTTTAACTTCCTGTAGGGTAAGTTATAGTAATCGTTTAGAATTCGAAAGTAAAATTTGTTGCATATCCTCAGGTTTCAGAGGTTTCTGAAGATTTTGTGATTCCTCAGAAAAAATGCATGCGTGTGTATTTGTATGTATGTATGGATACAATTTTTCGTGCACATTTTTGAGAGCAAGGATCAGCCGATTTGAAATATTCTAAAAGCGATCGATTCCTATTGATAAGGAGACGTGCTGATTAGTTTTTGGCAGAACAGATCTAGCCATTTCAGAGATACGTCGCAATAAGAGCCACTTTTACTCATTTTTTAAGAGAACAGAGCATCCGATTTGATAATAAAAGTTTTATAATCAGTTTAAGATTTTCTGACAGAGCTAAAAATTAAAATTATTAATAATTAATTATAAGATATATTACATTAAATTATTTACATTGGCTCATCAGATTATATCATATGGATAGAGTTATGTTTCATAATTAGTAAAGGAAAAGATCTATCAAAGATTGTTAAATTTTCAAGGCGCCTGCAAAAACATTAATTACCATGAAGTTATATGATCGGTCTTGGAAACATAATCAGCTGTATCAGTGAAAATTCTCATCATGATTTTTTTTTTAAATTTTAAACTTTCTTTATGAGTTTTGCAATATATTAAGACTTTTTTCTAATATACTAATAATTACGAAAGTGCAACTGATTAACACTCGAAATTAATAAACTGGTGTCAAAGTTTGCATTTACACTAACAATACTGTTTTCAATCGTTTATGTTCAATGATTCAAATGATTTTCAAATTTCAAAAAACAAAGGAAGCGAAATTCTTATATGATTTATTATTATAAGTCTAATCATTTTTAATTATAACTAGAATAATGTAAAATAACTTACCTCCGGTGGTTCTACGTATACGTTTACTTAAAGATGTTTGGTAAGCAAATTGTTGCCCCATCTCACTTAGAGATAACAAATTTGATTCAGAAAGACCTCGTAACTTTTCTTCATGTCTTTTTCGGACTACTGGTGCCAAAAACATATTCTACATAAATAAAAAAATATTGGTATTAATGACAACCAAGCAAATTTTATTGAGAGCAATATAAAAATAATTCACCATGATATCCAAGTCGGATATATCATCATCCTCACGTAGATCTCTGTCCTATATTTGGATAAATATAATAATAATTATATAATGGCAATCAAAATATGTGCACAAACTTATTTTGGTTATATATTTTTACCAAATTCCTCATAGCCAACGACAAAAGCCAAAGTTTTCTATAGTCACGTTCAATTTCAAATCGTCTCGCAATACACTTGTCAATTCCAGCAAATTCTTTACAGAAGATTCGATCTAAATAGTGTCTCATATCATGTAAAGCTTCATAATATACTGGACAATCGCGTTCATCGTAAAATCTCTCAAACTGTTATAGAAATATATAAATATAATATCATTAAAATATATATAATTTGGAATAATTGCTTACCTCAAGTGTAAGGCCAAAATAGAACTTTTCTAGCTCTTCTATATTTTTAAATTTCTTATTTTCAACTTCTTGCGTCTTGAATAAAAAATCACAGAATAAATGGATTAATTACTCTATATATTAAAATATGTCCTTCGTCTATGTCTACCTTATTCAATAAGCATTTTTGGAAATATTTTGCTCCTTGTAAATTATGGATTTCAGAATTGGTGAAAACCCAAAAATTATTTCTTGTAAATTTCTTTAATCCGAACTTTTCTAAATATGGTTGTGCAAAGAGATCGCATGTGAGCATATCATAAATTCCTTCCTACGTATATTTAAAATTTTTAATAGATATTATCAGTATATGAATAATAAGTGTATTTTGTTTTTTTTACTTACTTGATTAATGTTGTCGCTAAAGCCAAAAACTTTTGGCCCACCATAGTAGTCAGTAGGATCATGAGCCGGTTCTAATGTTACCTTTAATAGTATTATATAAAATTTGTTACTAATTTATTCTATAAAGTTTTATTTATTAAATCATTTGCAGTGTTGGACGCACATCCGTACTAATTTGTACATTTACCGAGATTTTGAAAAGGATTATTTTCAAGGTTATACCCATAGATAAAAAAGAGTGATTATATCTGAATTACTTATATACTTCCATAGAATATTTTTATATGAACATACGGCAATATCAGTAGTACATAAAATTATCAGAAATGCAATTGCCAAAGAAGATATATTATCTGAACACTTTTTCTTTCGTGAATTCATTCTTGTCAAAAATTAGCAATTACCTATTTTCTCAAAAAATGCTACGTGTAACTAATTTAATATTCACGGAATAGAAATTGTAATTATAACTTAATAATACCATCATATATGAAAAATATTTGATATTCATTTATTACGCAATAAAATTGCATAAACTACATGAATATATATATATATATATATATATATATTCATGTATATAATAATATATATATATATATATATATATATATATAAACTAGCTGACCCGGCAAACGTTGTTTTGCTAAGAAAGATATATTAATACTTTTAGTGTATAGGGATGTGTTGTTCGAATGCTATATACAATGAGGTATTATAAAAACAATAAACCCCATATGTTTGTCTATATTTTGTCAATACAATCAAACTGCAAGTTTTATACACTTTCTGTAGAAAACATGGTACAATCCAATCCAAGTCTATTTTGGTCTTTCGACTTATTAAGAATACGTTTCAAGTTTTTCAGATTTTTTTTGGATTCGGGATTTTGTGCGTAATTATAACTAATACTACTGAGCTTATACAAAATTTTTGCGAGGAGAGATAGAAAATAAATTAAGTATTTCTTCTTTGATCTGCTTTTTGAAAACTTTCAAGTAACATTCGATGAATTAAAGTCAATTTAATAAACAATATATATGTAGAGCAGGGCGAGGCACAAAGGTCCAATTTGGCTTTGAGCAAACATAAACTATATTGTGAAAACCATAATAATTATATCACAACAAATAACACATTTCGAACGAACAATTATTATTTAAGTACGTTCAGTAAAAGTACCAGCTACTTCATCATTGTAGAAATGTTACTTTTTACCCTATAGGCGCGGTAACTTGGAACGGCCAGATGGCAAACAGGTTTAATGTCTTATTTTAATTCCAAAGGTATTTTACAAAATAATCACATTTTTAACTAACGCTAAAGAAGTACCAACAAAAGAAAATACTTTTATTATGGATTTTCAAAGATTACAGTTTATCACCAGATTGCAAAGTCATCAGAATCAAGGTTATAGCTGGTTATACATCTTTTTTCCCCTACTTTCAAATATTGTTGTTAAACAATGCTTAACTTTGCTGATTTTTGACACATCGATGGTGGACCTTTTTAACCCCGGATTTTCATATATTACTATATATTCTTCGATAAATTCTGGGAAATTATAACTGGGAAAATGTTATTCGACAAAATGTCCATTTGATCGATACCAAATTTAGGTTCTGAATTTGAATAACACAAATAAAAAATAATATAACCTAGAAAATGTTTTATAATACCAATGAGTATATAATTATACAAATGAGATCTTTCAGAGCACCGTGTTTGAGAAATATATGCCAAAAAGTGCATTTTCATATTAACATTTCAAAATAGTTGATATTTTGAGCCTCCAGTAACACTTGCGGCCCGTTTCCTAACGTTTTTGTATATAAATAAAACTGCAAACAAAACTACTTACTACAATCATAATTAAATGATATTCACGTAAAACATCATATTAAACGTAATTGAACATCATCTGTTAAAAACTTTTGACATTTCACGTATAAACCACCGTCGATTGTTTTGTTTAAATTACGCTTTTACAAAGATTTCAAATTGAAAAAGTAAAGTTTCTACGCGATATAATATCTCACCTTTCCGACCATCTCTGGATTGGCACAAATTTTTCAAGACTAAGACTGGCCAAATCGGTTTAGCCGTTTTCGAGTTTTACCGAATCATTTGATCGAGAGCTCCATTTTTATATATGATAATATATATAAAAGTGGTATTGTCGAGCCAGAACGCACTAGAACATTGCAAATGTTTTTTGGGCCCGTCAATTTTTTTTTTTAACTTGCTACATACAGAAAATGATTTGATAAGTGAATTTTACAATTCATAATTTATCTGATTGTGTTTAACCGTTTTCCTATACATTGTAATAAACATACAAATATATGTACAAAATGGGTTTTGTAATGATTTTTGTTTTGATATTAAAAAAGTAGTTCAATCATGCATCAAGAATTTGGAAATTAGAATTAAAATGAATGAAAGTAAGAAGAGAAGTAATAAAGACGTAAGAAGAAGGTAGGAGATAAAATGATAGATAGTAAAGAAGAATAAGAAAAATGAATGAAGTTAAGTTGAAGAGTACATAGAATAGAATATGAAATAGAAAGAAGAATACGATTTAAATAAAGAAAATAGTATGAACCTGAAGATTAATTTATTAGAATTAAAATATGTTGTAGGTGGCTAAATGCTCAAGTAAGCGAGGCCAATAAAAATTAATTAATAAAGTAACCTATCTGTATAAAAATAATAGTTATGATTAAAAGAACACTTATGATGAAAACAAAACTTATGATTTTCGAATACTAGGAATCAAAATAAGATACTGCACTGAAGAATCCATATCTCTAAAATTAGTTCTGATATCCCGTGCATTGATCCAAAGATAAGAGTTGAATTTTGAAAAATCACTCAGGGGGGTCCCCAGGGTTAGTGAGAGTCATACATTTGGATCTGATTGGGGCACTCTGAACAAAAATAGTTATTTTTATATAATTATATTACCTTGTTCTAATTAGTTATAATAGATTTCGTAAGTTTATCAAATCACCATTTTAGTACTCGGAAAACCAATATTGCGTCTGCTACGTGACTGCTACGTGGCTGCTACGCACGCCAAGCAATTTTCAGCAGCAGGGTAATCAGGCTACCTCAACATTTTTAAATTATGATAATACACATTATAATAATATAAATATACTAATGCACATCAAATTATAAGAAATTTTACAGATATATTATTTATTTATTTATTTATAAGCAAGCCGTAATCAATAATAATAGACATTATTGCAGGCTCTTGTCTTGTTTTAATAATTAGAACAAATTTTGTTTACATTTCTATGTGTTTCTATGTTTGTCCATCGATATTTCGTTTCTACGCAGCTAACGTATTGCGATTGCTTTGACAGTTCAATTTTTGCAAAATATTTTAAAGTGTAAAAATCCAAATATTAAAAGAAAATTCAAAAATTTAATTTTTTCAAAGTTCTAAAAAGAGGTGAAATTTTTTTAAGTTTAAATTTAATTTTTGGTATGGGAAGTTCCAACAATTTGCCTTAAGGCACGATTCCATGCGCCACTAGTATTAATTTTTTTTTCTTTGAAATGTGTTGCTAAACAAATTTCTAATAAAGTATGACAAATTTTTGTCACATATATCTGAATGACTAAATTCTATATTCGTATTTGTATTTTTTATAATAATAAATATGGTGCTTTCACAGTTTTTTTATTTAATAGTAATGCAATTTATTTATTTAATACATTGTATTCAAGTATTGCTTCATGACAATTCATTATCGTATGTGAAGATGACGAAATCCAAAATATCAGTTTGAGTAATAATTTAATATCAAATTGCAAAATCTCATTGAAAGAATTACGAAACTAATATATTTCTTCAAACTTTAAAATTAATTAACTAATCAAAAATATTTCTGATGTTGAGCCTATATAATTTTTTTTCCAATATATAATAAAAGGGACACAAGTTGTTTTTTACAACACAAATGAATCAGTATCCTCATTTGTGCTCTCATTTGCAGAGCAAAACTTCATAAACATAGCAAATATAGAATTGTATCGTGAATAGCTATTATAACATTCATGTATTTATAACTTATTTTCTATAAGTTTTCTTTAATATTGCATCATTTATATATTGTACATATTTTTTAATACAATTATTTTCTATCACTTTCCGTGGGTAGTGTGGGCTTTAGGTACCATTTCAACATGTTTATGGTGGCGCCTTCGAGATCTGCAAAAATCGACGGGTTTTCCTTTATGCATATAGTTATCTTCCATAACACGTTTAATAATATTCCAATCGCAAGAATATCCAGGATAATATTTAAATTTATTGCATCCACGATAAGTTAAAAGTTGAAAATCTCCATAGGTGTGCTGATTATAAAGAACCTGCAAATGGCATTGAAAACAATTTTAGCATGCAATTATCAATAACCTAGTTGATATATTACCTTAACTCTCCAATTATTTCTTCGTAATTTATGTAATTCAAATACAATCGTTGCGCCTACATCAGGAAAGAAATTGGTAACATTAAATGTGGTTCCATCAATTAAAGTACCCTTAGGTTTCAAAGCTGAAAGTAAGCCGATAAATACTTGTGTCGGTGCTACAAATACTGACATTTTAAGATCGTTTTTCTTAGGATTTATACTGCGTCTTTGGCCCTTCTTAACGCGTTCTAAAGTTTCCATTATGTACTTTAAAAGACGACCTAAAATTTGAAATATTTTAATAGCAATTATTTTGTTCTACTTTATTGTAATATCTATCAATAAAAATTAGATAATTTATGGACTCGTAAAACTTTATTATGATATAATAACTCATTTGATACTATTTTTCCGAACCACTTTGATTATTTTTTTACTTATTAAACAAAATTATACGAATGGAAATATTACTTATCACTGAAGAGATTGTCAGGTAAAAAAATAATAATTCTTAATAAATAATGATGTAAAATACTGCTGACTCAAGTAACTTACCACTGAATCTAATCTTTGCACATAATATTCACCAAAAGTATATAATATAATATAAAATATTAAGTTCATTAACACCATAATTCTAGAGAATAGTTTTATTTAATATTCATCAACCACTATATTAATTTCAATAAAAAATTGGCCATTTTCTACATTTTGAGAAAAGCTAAACTGATCAACTAATACAACGCTTACAAATACAATGACAGCTTTCCTAAATTGAAATATTTTGAAAAAATACAAAAAAAAATAAAATTGCTTTAGAACTTTTGATGAAGCTAATTATTGTTATTTAGAAAAAGATGTTCAATCTTTACAAAAAGCTCTTATTTACAATAATTGATTGTTAGAAAGTATTCAAAAATATTAGAAAAAAATGAAAATTTTCATACTTTATATTTTATAATATTAATTTGGCCTAAGACAACTAAGAAATGTGAAAAACTAATAAACAATACAAAATATGTTCGCATTTTATAAAACTGTTCGAATATTTTGAGAAAAGATGGATGAAAAATTCTATCTGATGATTACAAAAATATGGTTCATCCTACTTATACGCTCATTATGTAAAGAAAAATCATCTGAAAAGCTTTCAAATTTTTTAGACATTTATAAAAATGTAATTTACAAACAAAATTGTTCGATTGATATTGAAACCAAATTTTCCTTGATCAGTAGACGTATTCAACATGATTTTCAACTGATATCTTTTGCATAGTTTTTCAAACTCTTTTTATGTCTTTCTGTGAGAAGTACTTCAAACATTTCAACTATTAATTACTTATATTTGGTTGATTATCACTCAAAACCAATAAACAGGTGTCAAAATGTGGTTACTTACTATACTGTTATTAAAATTCAATGTCAAATGATAAGAATAATTTTAATCGTCCAAAAGCAAAATAAGCAATACTTTTAAGAAAATTTATTATTAATACTTAATTATTAATTATAACTTTAATAATTTAAAATAACTTACCTCCAGTGGTTCTACGTATTCGTTTGCTTAAAGATGTTTGGTAAGCAAATTGTTGCCCCATTTCACTCAGAGAAAACAAATTTGATTCTGAAAGACCTCGTAATTTGTTTTCGTGTCTTTTCCGGGTTACTGGTGCCAGAAACATATTCTGAAAAATAAAATAAATATGGGCATTAATGCATCCTAAACAAATTTTATTGAGAGCAATATAATTGATATACCATGATATCCCAGTCCGAGGTATCATCATCCTCGCTTAGATCTCTTTCCTATGATTGAAAAATATGATAGTGTACATATAAGTCAATTGAGTTCATAAAAACATCATAAACAAATTTGTTTTTGTTATTATGTTTTTACCAAATTCCTCATAGCCAACGATAAAAGCCACAATTTTCTATAGTCATGTTTAATTTGAAATCTTCTCGCAATACACTTGTCAATTCCAGCAAATTCTTTGCAGAAGATTCGATCTAAATAGTGTCTCATATCATGTAAAGCTTCATAATATACTGGACAATCGCGTTTATCGTAAAATCTCTCAAACTGTTGAATTTAAAGATTCATGAATATATTATTATTTAAATGTATATCATTTTTTATGATTACTTACCTCAAGTGTGAGGCCGTAATAGAACTTTTCTAGCTCTTCTATATTTTTAAATTTCTTATTTTCAACTTCTTGTGTCTTGAATCAAAAATCACAAAATAAATGAATAAATTACTCTATATATTTAAATATTTATTTTATTGTTGCTTACCTTATTCAATAAGCATTTTTGGAAATATTTTGCTCCTTGTAAATTATGGATCTCAAAATTAGTGAAAACCCAGAAATTATTTCTTGTGAATTTTTTCAATCCGAATTTTTCTAGATATGGTTGTGCAAAGAGATCGCATGTGAGCATATCATAAATTCCTTCCTACATATATTAAGAATTTTGAAAAAATATTTTCAGTATATGTATTGTCGATTTTGTTAATAGATCTGCCAATTTTTAAATTACTTACTTGATTAATGTTGTCTCTAGAGCCAAAAACTTTTGGGCCTCCATAGTAGTCGGTTGGATCATGAGATGGTTCTAATGTTACCTTCAATAGTATTTTATAAAATTTTTTACTAATTTATTCTTAAATTTATATTTATTAAATCATTTGTAGTGTTAGACGCACACCCGCTTTGGTACTAACTTATATTTTTACCGAGATTTGGAAAATGATTATCTCAAAGGCTATATCTGATAATTATATACTCCTATAAAATATTTTTATATGATCATTAAAATATTCTATACACTTATATAAACTTACAGCAAACGCATATTTTAATGTAGGAGTTATATTATCTTTGACATAACATTGGGCAATATCAGCAGTACTTAAAATTATTACAAATGCAGCTACCAGAGGAGATACATTTTCTAAACACTTATTCTTTCGTAAATTCATTTTCGTCAAAACCTTTTAATTGAAAATTTCTATTTTCTCCATTAATGCTACGTGTAACTAATTTAATATTCACAGAACAGCAAGTGTAATTATAACTCAATATTATCGTCATATTTAATAAATATTTGATATTTATTTACGCATTGAAATTGCATAAACTGCATAAATAATTTATACATATTATGCATAAATATATATTTATAATGCATTATACGTGATGATGTAGCACTGAAATCTTATAATGAAAATTACACCTTTTCCAAAAATTTCATATTTTATGAACTGGATCATTTTTGCGTATTTGGCAATTAGAAAATGGATGCTTTTGTATTGATGAGTATATGTTCTAAACAATTTTAAGCTACCTTTTTGAGAGTATGTAGCAACCTATCAACCTAATCAAAGCTTCATTTCGGCCTAATTGATTAGGTTTTGGTGAAGGCCGGTTCAGTTCTTTAATCGAGGACAAATACTATTCATAAAGTCTATTCAATTTTTTACAACTGGTTGAACTCATTAGAAGATTCTATTAGTGATCCCTGTATGTTTAGTTTTTATAAATGGTACAAAAGCAAAAAGTGCAAATAATGACTATCTGCAGGATAAATGTTGAATATATGCATATTCGTGAATGGTTTTTCAAGAAGATTTTATTAATATGCACAAGTTTCTGTTACCATTTTTTAGATTTCAAATCAATTTTGAAGATCAGGAAGATCACTTTTATATTTTCGAATGCACTGCTTAACTTTATTCAATTGATAACTCTGTAACTTGTTCAAAACTTAAAATATTTATTGCTTACCCATCTACCCCAGATGCTATATGCAAAAATACTATGAACTAATTTACTCAGTTATTGCCGAAAACTTATTAATTGTAGCGTTGAGGCATTTTACCTGAAGACAATTAGCTAAATTTTACCGAAATGTTTATATAATTCACTTAAACAATAGAATTTGAGAGTTATCAACTTTAAACTTGTTGAAGATATAATTTAGAGTTTTGTCACAGCGCATTATTTCAAAGTAGATAAATTTTCATTATCAAACCTATTTTCATTGGTCTTCCATATTTTACTTCAAACTATAATGAAGAATCAACATCATCATCATGCAAAGTTTCATCAAAATCATACAAATAAATTCTTTTCAATAAGTAATCGGATCTTTATATAATTATTCAGCTTCTTAAAACAGACAGATTTTGAAGTGCTTTTGAATTTTGAAACCAGGAGATATTTTGAGGAAAACTTTTGCTCTTATCTATCTACTAAATACAAAAGATCGTCCTGCAAAACAAACATGAATTGATTTAAAAATATGAAGTATCGTCATTTTTGTTACAACAAAATTTTATTAACACAAAGTTGCAGTCAATTTGTTTTCTCAACATACTAAATAATGCATAAGGAAATATTATCATCACTCTCTAACAATCTAACGAGTATACAATTTTTATAGCTTGTTAAAAGAAATGATATATTTGAACCATATTTTGGATAATCGTATTTTTTGGAATCAAGTTGATAATTATATTATGTATGTAAAATGTTTATTTTAAACAATAAATATTTTTTTCTTTTCTATATAAACGACAGTAAATGCTCAAAATACTTTTAAATGTATATGTTTCACTGAATATTTAAGTTGATTTTGAAACAATCGTATCTCAAACCACAATACGAGAATGAATTGCATATTGCATTACATTCTTCTATAACTTGAAGTAAAGCAAATATCGATCAATATAGGTTATTGATTTTCAATTTCCATTTTATTTTAATATTTCTAAAAAATTAAATTTTATTATTCTATACAATTCAAATAAAGTAAACGATTGTTATATGTAAAAAAATAGATTTTTATTACATTATTATTACATCAATTTTTAATCATGCTCATACCATGATTTAAATGGTTAATAAATATTATTTAATATTGTTGCTTTATCAGTAAATATTGTAAACTTCAGAATTATTCATGTTAGATTCTACATAATTTTACATGTTCTTCTTCACTGATAGCATATGAATTGACCGCGTTCTTAAACGTGTCGTATGGGCATATATTTTTAGTGCAACCTGTCACTTTTACTGTCCTCCATCCGCTCGTTTTATCACTATTATATCTTATCTAAATATATTTTATATAAAATCATTATTATGAAAAAATTCAAGAAGCAGTATAAATTTAAATATTAGATGCAAATTTGAATTTGATTGAATGAATAATTTTACCTGAACCTTCCATGTTTCCTTATTTTTGTACAATTCAATAACAACATAAGATCCATCGTCAGGGTAAAAATTAGAAGCCGTTACATCTTGATTACTTATCTTGGTACCGTTTGGTGTAAATACAGCCATTTGGGCTGCTAATAGTGCTTGGGGGACAACAAATATATTCATTTTATTATCTTTTTTTCCTGGAGCGTGGGGTTGAGCTTTGTCTTTGGTCAGTTCATCCATATCATTGAGAAGATCTTTAAGAATTAATCCTAAGGATGTATGAAATATTTGAGTTAAGGATATTTATTTAAAAAAAATTAAAATATAATTTTTAAATTTTAATATTCCAATACCTCCTGCTAGTTTTCTTAGTTTTTCTGTAGATGTTAACGCGGTCAATACATATTTCGATGAAAATCCCTTGAGATTTTTCATTATGGTTGAATTTAACCAATCCATGCCTTCCTTTTTTTGTTGTTGCTGAAAATTAAATTGCGACATGAATTTAATGTAATATAAATAAATAAAAATAATATATATATATATATATATATATATATATATAGAATATATATATATATATATATATATATATATAGAAAAAAAATATATATAAATAGAAAAATCCATTTTCTTTTCTTAATCATATGGTTTGCTTAAATCTCATCAAGATCATGTTTCTTGACAGATGTCCTGAAGATGGAACGTACCTAGTTCCGAAACGTCGACAGTAAATAAATAAATAAATAAAGAAATTGTATATTTAAAAAACTTTTCTTGTTTTTTATTACTTTTTGGATTCTTGTTCGAAACTCTACAAAATATACACAAATCCAAGACTCTACCAATATATATATATATATATATATATATATATATATATTTTTTTTTAAATATGTGAGTTTGGTGTTGATATATATTTTGATGAGTTATTATACATCAAGTAAAAAAAAATTCAGTATTTAGACGTTAGTCAATTTGTACACACTAGAATGTAAGAAAAAAATTGTAAAAAAAAAATTAATTAGTTTAAATGTTCCAATTATTAATAGTCTGGTTTATCACAGTATAATAGTGTAGTGTATTTTTGTATAACTAATTTCTTTTTCCACTGAATGACGGTCTCGATGAAAACCGAAACGTATGGATAAATAAAGTATTTCAAAACTACTTTAGTTTTTTTTTACTTGGTGTTACTGCCCGCTTCTAAATAACTCATCAATATACATATATATATATATATATATATATATATATATAATAATATATAATAATAATAAATATATATATATATATATATATATATATACAATATACAATATGCAATATACTCACCATTCTTTTGAACGTTTCATAAGCAATCCAAACATTTTCTGGATTTGCAGTTCCAATAGACGGATATTTAGAATTAATTGCATTAATAGTATCTTGATACTCAGATGCAATTGTCTTGATAGCCTGTGATTGTTGCCTAAGTTCTTTAAAATATGCAGGACATTCACTAGGTTTTAAAAATCGTAAAAACTGTAAACATAAGTTATATGTAATCGAATTTAGATATTAGAATAAACTTACTTATTCAAAAAATATATTATAATTATATTTTTACTTACGCCTGGCATCGCAGCAAAATATGTGGAATTCAACTGTTGCTCAGTCCATTCGCCAAAAGCTTTGCGTGTCTAAAAGATAAAAACCCAGATAAATTTTATGTACATAATATTTTTAAATTTTCAGAAAAATGAAGTTTATACATTATTTTCTAGTCCAGCTCCTATAATTAATGTGGCAGATTTTGTTCGCTTAGTGTTTGTGGCAACAGGCCAGTAATTTTTCTTAGAATCCCACTTGTCAATCTTCAATGGAACTTTATATACTTGATCTAAATATCGTCCTAGTTTAAAAGCTTCCTCTTTTCCATCCTGAAAGTAACGTAAGTGTTTATTTTGTGCAAATTTTGAAATTGAATTACATTCAAATATTTACGTTTGTTAATTCACTAGATCTTTCAGGCAATTTGGTTAATTCAGGTCCTCCAGGGTAATCGCAAGCTTGATGATCTGGACCTTTTGCCATCTGCAAATATTTTAATATAATATCATTTTATGCAATATTCTTTGATATTGATAATCATTTGATTATGTTTGATATTCTATAAATTACTATAATTAAATAAGCTATAATAATCAATCATAAAAAATACTTACTACAAATACAAACTTAAGTTCATCATTTGCTAAAATATAATTGAACTGCACTAGGCAAATACAAAAGAATACAATGACTCTCATGTTAACTATAAAATAAGCTAGTTCTTGAAGCAAAGCTAATTTTGGAATGTAGATTGCGGATACAAAACATCATTTTATAGTCTCAACTTTTATATATTGTTATTGAAGAACTATTATTTTTAATAAATTATTTATTTGCATTGAATAAACAATGATAATATTTTTATACATTATTTCAACATATGCTTAAAATGTTACTCAAAATGTAAATGCAATTTCGATATGTATTTATATTGCATATATAATAAAGTTTGTATACTGCAATCTTTGATTTGTCAATAGATTTTTCTTATGCATATTACAAATTAACCTTTGACAATGTACATTGTACACACTAGTTTCTATTAGATTTTGTAAATTTGTTTGCTTATCACCGCAGATAGATAAATCTGAACTAAAATGGTTAATTATACCTATGCTGATTCAATATTAATAATAATTTATTCTTCTAGTTTTCTGACAAAAATTAGGTTGTTATGGCCTAGCTTAGTGCTTTAAGAAAGAAATTGATTATTTTTCATAAGCAAAGTCAACTTGCTTAATTTTGATAAGCCTAACTTAAAAATTATTCAAATGAATAAAAACAAGGTGTACGTGACATGTTTTTTATACGAATTTATTAATAAATAAATTTTGAAATTAGAATGTTAATGCCACTATGAGCTAATTACGGAAAAATTGGTTAAACAATAACTACTCATTACAAATTAGGTAGGTTATTTAGTGTCTAATAATGAGATGGTATAATACAATTTTACCTATTTTAATTCTTTCTTAAAATAATCATTCCATAAAATTGTTCAACGGTAATCCTGATTAATATATTTTGTGTATTATATTAAAATTTCAAACTTGTTATAAATCATCCTACCAAAAGTTTTAAAATTGTATTGATAATCTTCTGAAGTTTTTTTCATTTTTTATTTATTTCTCAAGATTAAATTACAATCTGTTTTTCAGTTAAATTTTTTTTATTTATTAACTTCCCGAAGGATAAGTTCATGTTTTCATCAAAAAAATCCGATTCACTAATTCTATGTTTTCTCTACGTTTCAAGCGTGTGTTAACAGATTTTTTGCCGTGAATCGACGTTTTCTCAAGAACGGCTAGACCGATTTCAAAAATTTAAAAGCCATTCGATGTATCGCGATGAGGACTAGCGTTTTGTGCGACGATCGGCCGAGCCGTTTTTTTGTAAATCGCAGAAAAGTGAAAAAAAATTCGCCACGCTTTAGCCAACAATTCTGAATGGATTTTAAAAATTTAAAAAGTGTTTGAAACATATTAGTTGGGTTTCGACCTGATTAGTTTTTGGTAAAGATAAGCCGGGCCGTTTTCTTGTAATAAATCGTTAAAAAAAATCGGCGATTTTCATAAAAAAATTTGACGGTAGATACCATAGGCTTATAGATCATACTAAAATATTACGGTCCTACAACAAGTCGTTTAATTTTTAAAAATCGAAAAGTTTGCACAAACTAGTGTCGTTTTTTTGGCGTTTGTCAAAATTATAATTTTCATCGACGTTTGCTCAAAAACGCCTATTTCAAAAATTTAAAAGCCAATCGATTTTGAGGTCTTTTCTCAGTTTTGTGCAGCGATCGGGCGAGCCATTTCTTTGTAATTTGAAAAAAAGTGTTAAACTTTTCGTCCACATTTAAGCTCATACTACCGAATCGATTTTAAAAAATCAAAAACTGTTCGAAAGATATCAGTTGGAAATGATACTGATTAGCTTTAGGTGAAAATCTACCGAGTCGTTTTCTCGTAATTAACTGTTGAAAAAAAATTAAACCGATTTTTATGAAACTTTTTTGGCAATACATATCATGGTCTTATAGAACTTACTGAAATATTACGGCCTTACGACAAGTAGTTTAATTTTAAAAATTCATCAAAATTTAAATAGTTTTTATGACATTTGTTAAAATTAATATAAGACGATTTACTTGGTATAATGATAGAGTACTTGGTCTTAATGAACATACTAAACCATGAAAGTCCTACGAAAACTGGTTCAAATAAAAAAATTATTGATTTTTGAAAATTTGCTTTTAGAAAATATTCCGAGTTAACGTGTTCGTTCGTTTCCAATGATGTGTAATGAATCCACTCGGAATACTTTTAATCACTCGTAAATTAATTTATTCTTATTGATTAAAATGATTATTTACTCATATCGGGAAGTTCATGTAACTTGCCTCGAGGCAAAATACCAATACCAACTATAGTGCAGTAAACGGAGAGGAAAAAAGGGTATAACCTCTGAATATTTTTTACTGTGCTCCGAATTGCATTCCGATTTCATCTTAATCTCAAGTTCAAAAGTGAAAAAAATTCTGGAGAGGGGGGAGTTGCAACTTCTTAATAAATAAGTAGACATTGAGTCGTTTATCGCTAGAAAACATTTTTAATATTAAAGGATATAATTAAAAAACATTTTTTAATACACTTACCTTGCAATAAAATTATTTTCAACCCCGTGAAAACCCCAAAACCCTTCAAACAACATCCAAATTGAAAAAAAAACAATTAAAATTAAATTTCGGTATGATATAATAAGAATTACGTATAAAGTAAATAATATTTGATGTTTTCTATCTTGATTATCAAATTTTTAACCCGTTTTAGACCAAAAACAACCCCTTGATGAAAAATTGTATGAAAAAATTATTTTGAAATTGAAAGAAAATTAAGAAATTCAAAATGATATAAATGTTATTTCAATTTCTCAAAAATAATTACCATATCCATAATTTGTTCAACACCTAAAACTACCCTTGAATAAAAACAGTTAATTCGATTAAAAATTGAAAAATTATTTAATGAAACCATAGGTAATCATAATTTATTTCAAACAGAAACAACATTACTCAATGTCGGAGTTGCTGTAATCATCACTATCTTCTTTTGGCTGTATTGGAGGGCTATTCTGGCAGTTATCACCGCTACATTACGGCCCCCGAGATGTACGCTAAACCAATTTATTCATGTTATTTCAAAATATACGTTTTTATTATAAATACACTCCTCTCATTTTGAAACGGCGAACGATTAAAGGGCTCGAGAGAGACTATGATTGCGCGGCCGCCTCTATACGTATCTGTTATTATTTTTGATATGTTATAAAAATAAGTTCGATTTTTAAAAAAATCGGAAAAAAATTCTTATAAAATCGTGAGTTTTCTGAAAATAGTTTATACTAAAGTAGTCTGATGGAAATGGCGCACATTAAACCATATGATTTTAAAGAAAAAATCAACGTATATGCTTTTTATTTGAATGATAGCTTACTCTTTTTACACGCAAAAAACTTGTAACAGCACTCATTTTAAAGCTTATGTTGAGCACTATAAAACGCAATTTCAAATGCATAAAATGTAAAACCTCGCCACTAGATGGCTTTAAATGCAACAATTAAATCTTGGACGAAATAAAAAATGACTTCGCTCTTTCAAATATTTCTTAATATTATTTTTAGAACACTTTATGAAACACCGATTTATTTAGATTTTTATTGACATTATTTTGTTAATTACATGATTTTCGTTAAAATGTATATTTTAGGAGATATTTACAAAAAAACAAAGAAAGACGCCAAAAATATATGAATTTTTAGTGGCCAGTAATTTGAAAAGTATTAGTTTTTTTTTGAAAAACTATAAAAGACGTATTTTTCTTATAATTAGTTTTCTATCGATTTTCGACGTTATTCTGAAAAAATTTGATTACACAATTGAGAAGGGGTGGTGGCGGAACCCGAATTGTTTTCACTTTTGAACATGAGGGTAAGATGAACCTAATTCCAAAATTTCATGCAATTCGGAGCACAGTAAAAAAATTCACACCCAAAACGCTCCGTTTACTGCACTACTAGTTATGATTAATTTGTAGTATATACATAAAGTTAATATTATACAAGACATTTTCAATGTGGCGGAATTAGCTCATGTGTAGCGTTTCCGACTCACACGCCGAAGGTTCGAAGTTCGAATCCCCGGCATAATATAAAAATTCTGTTAAAAAATAGTTTGAAATAAAAGTTAAAAATAGTTTGAATTAATGTTAAAAATAATGTTAAAAATAATGTTAAAAATAGTTTGAAATAGTATTAAAAATAGTTTAATCGTATATAAAAAGGTTTGAGAATAAAAAAATTAAATTGAATAGAAGTAATGAAAGAAGTAATGGAAGTAATGAAGATGTAAGAAGATAGAAGATATAATGATAGATAATAAAAGAAGAAAAAAGGAAGAATGAAGTTATGTTGATGAGTACATAGGTGGCTAAATGCTCGAGTAAGCGAGGCCAATAAAAATAAAAAAAAACAAGACATTTTCAAATATAAAGTCAGATATCACACAAAACATTTTTAAATATTTGAAATATTTCAATTTAAAAAATTGAAAAACATCAGCTGAGCTGGGAACATATCTTGCCAATTACTTTTGGCAAAGGTTGGCTGAGCTGTTTTTCTGTAACTGTTGAAACAATTCGTTTCAATGATTTTCATAACTAACATACTAAATTATCATTGGTCTACAAATTTAATATGTATATATTCTGTATAACACTATAATTAATAGTAATGCAATTGCAGGTAATAAATGTTTGTTTCAAAAATATTAATTGAAAATCGTATCGATTACTTTTTCGTGAAAGCAAAAACTTTATATTATAAAACTCAATTCTCATCAGTTAGTCGATTATTTGCATATTAGGCCAAGTTTGAAACAATACTTGTGGCCTGGACTGCGTGTTAAGAACTTGGCCCAGCAATTTGACTTGAGATAATTGATTCAAAATATGATAGCTAGTGGAAATATTATTTCTGGGGTATTGATTGAATTCAAATCTCATCTATATAAAATGAAAAAAAGCTAATAAAATTTTTAGGGAACACTTAACTTCTGGATTGCATTCTAAAAAGACTAGGTTATAGAATCAAAGCACAAACTTATAGAAGATATACAATTCATATTGAGGTTCAAACAAAAA